CTGTACAAGCTTCAGATTAAATCCACATGATCAACTAGGCAGAGTCTGTGTCTATGGAATATATAAAAGGTCACTGAGAGCTCCCACGAAAGAAAACGCACTAGTTCTGATAGCTGTGGACACTGAGGGCAAGAACACACAGGAGCAGGACCAGATTAGAATCTGAGCTGCCCCCACAGCAGGTCCAGTAACCAGCACAGTGTTGGAGGTCATCCTAGGGAGGGGAGGGGGACTGTGACCCCAGCGAGGGAAAGGACTCTGACAGCAGTGACTCCAGAAAAACATTTGTTATTCTTATGTTTTGACTTGTTCTATAGATTCTTTTGGATTTTTTTTTTTCCTTTTACCCCCCCCTCTGTTTTAGGTGTCGATTTTTCTTTTTTCACTATGAAATCTAATTAAGCTTTTGCGCTTTTTTTTTTCTCAATCACATTATTTATTGTTGTTATAAACCTCTGCCTCTACTTTGGGCTTTTGCAGTTCTGTGGAGATTCCCCCCCCTTTTTTTATTTTCTCTTTTTTCTAATTTTAATTTTTTAAACCTATTATATTTTTTCTACATTTATTCCTTTGTTTGCCTCTCCAACTGTTCTTTTCCCCTTGCAGTTAATCTTTAAGGTATACAAATCTTCTTCATCTACTTCTATTTAACTTTGCATATCTATTCTTTCTTTCCTTCCTTTCCTCTCTATATATTTGTTAGTTTTGTTTTCATTGCTTCATTCCCTACTTGGCACCTTGCTTTAGTTTTGTTTTCCAGTTTGTGTTTTAGTTAATTTTGCTCTTAACTGGTAAATATTTTATTTCCTTTGTTTGCTGGGTCGATCTACTGTACTGTATTTTTGTTGGACTGTGTTGACTTTGCTCATCAGTGTGTATATATATGTGTGTGTGTGTGCATGTGTGTATTCCATTATTTTAATTATTATTTGCCTGATTTTGTAACTGCCATTTGTCTGGGGTCCGTCTTTGGTTTCTCATTTTTGGGTATTTGTTTTAATCTCACTTAATGCCATAACAAACCATTTGTGGAATCTTTGTTTCCAACCAGAGATCAAGCCCTGAGCCTTTGGAGTGGGAGCACTGACTCCAAGACCCTAGACCACCAGAGAACTAAGTCAGAAAGAGAAAAAGAAATATCGTATTCTAATACATATATACGGAATCTAGAAAAATGGTACTGAAAAATTTATTTACAGGGCAGCAATGGAGAAACAGAAATAGAGAATAGACTTATGGACATGGGCAGAGGGGAGGAGAGGGTGAGATGTATGGAAAGAGTAACATGGAAACTTACATTACCATATGTACAATAGATAGCCAACAGGAATTTGCTGTATGGCTCAGGAAACTCAAACAGGGGCTCTGTGTCAACCTAGAGGTGTAGGAGGGGGAAGGAGATGGGAGGGAGGTTCAAAAGGGAGGAGATAAATGTATACCTATGGCTGATTCATGTAGAGGGAGATATCTGGTATGGTTCTAAATATTTGGAAATTAAGTAACCTATTTTTAAATAACAAAGAGTATTTTGGGAGTTGGTAGAAATAAAAAGTTGAAAAAAATTTGAGAAAATCATTCACATTCATATTTATTATTGAAATTAGAAAGCAGAGGCCTAGAATGTTTTGGGTTAACTAATTCAAGATTTGACAATGAGGCTCTTTCCCCAGGCACAGCACTTCTTACACACTGACTTGACTGATGTTTGAGTGCATGTCTTGTTTCTCCTACTAGACAGTGAGCTCTTTGAAGGCATGGCTGATTCCTATATCCAAAACACCAAGTATGCATTCAATGAATGATGAATAAACCATAAAGGGATGCTGGCAGGGTGAAGACCTAAAGGCTGCACTCCAAGACCCAGGGCAATGTTTATTCTTCCTTAATACATAGACAGAGAGTAAAGGTTATGCAGCCATGATTCATCTGTGAAAGGGGAAAGCCTACAGGGCTACAGGGCTGAGGTAAGAAATAAATCATGGACTGGAGAGCTGTCATTCCTTTTAGCTGCACAGCATCTGATCCTTCTCGGAATGTTTGAGAAATTCTCCATCTGATACATCAGAGCCATCCTCCCGCCACAGAACCAGAAAATGTCAGACTTACCTTCCCAGACCCCCTTCCAAAGAGGACTGAGGGCATGTGACCATCAGACACACTCACCCCAGATTTCAAATTGGAAGCCATCGATATGTACAAGCTGGAGTCACTGAAACAAAAAGGATCTGGCAACTGCATTTCCCAGGGGCAGCAGGGCCACCCATTTTATAGCAGCTCCAACTGACAGACATTTCCGGGATGATGGAAATATTCTAAGGATTATGTGTAGAAGTTCTTCATCACTGTGCTATCCACTCCCGGAGCCATTAGCCACATACGGCAATTAAGCACTTGAAATATGGCTAGCTCACCTGGGGAACTGAATTTAAAATATTATTTAGTTGTGATTAATTTAAATGAAATAACCACAAGAGGCTGCCAATTAGACAGTGCAGTTCTGTAGGCAACATCCAGGGCCCCTTGTTGGTGGTTGTCAGCTGTGTACATGGCATGTCTGGCCTCAGAGGTGGTGGCAGGCGTGTCCTCATCACTTACTGAGTAGCTGCCAAGCCTGGTTCCCTGGTTTTCCAGAAAGCTTCTCATTGCCCTTTACTATATTCCTTTCTTGCCTAAAGCGCCCAGGGTGGGTTAGTGATGCCTGACACCCAGAATCGTAAGTGACACAAATGAGGTGTAGAATGCAGCAGTGTCTAGCACAGCTCAGTAGGGACTCAATAAACCTTTCCACAGTCTTCTAAGAATATGTGGGCAAATGCTAATTATAGGACATGACTCTGCTCTGTCTGAAGATTAAGTAATAATATCCTCTAATCCCACGACAGGGAAGGCAGATAGGCCCTCTGGGTCAACTCCAGCCCTTCTCCTGTAGCATCTTTTTCAGGTTAAGGTAGCATTCAGGATACATAACACACTTGTACTCAAGGGCCCAAAGAAACAGTGTCCTCTTTAACTCTATAGGGGAAACAGGTATCTATTTTTAGTCTATGAATACCTGATTTGGGGCCTCTTCAAGGTTTTACCTTCCTCTAGTCTACATAGCCTAATTTATGTAATTTATGTCCTCAGTTTGTAGAAATGATAATTTAAAAAAAAAAAGCAGGAGGAAATGCAATTTATTTCTACATGATTCATTTCCCAAATGGATCCATGCCCCTGATTAGAGCTGAAATGGAATTTCTACACTCAGAGTCAGGCTTGGCTGACAGGTTACCAGGGCAACCTGTAGCTCCAGGAGAGTAACCATCCCTCCCACTGACTGTGGCTCAGGATAGAAAGAGGGTTCAGCTACATGAGCGCTGGATTTGTGCAACCAGTTACTGCTCGTCGGGAGGAAAGTGCTTTCAATACACCTGCTTCCCACCCTGTGCAGGGATGGGAAATCATGGGCTCTGGAGTCAGGCTGTTGGGTTTTAATAGTGTCTACACCACTCACTGTCCGTGTGAGCAGTTATATAACATCATTGAGCCTCAGTTTTCTCATCTCTGAAATGGCAATACGAACATTCATTTTGTATCCCTGTTGGGCGGATTAAATGTTTTCATAAGAATAAGTGCTTTATAAAGTATGAAAGTGAAGTCGCTCAGTCGTGTCCAACTCTTTGCGACCCTATGGACGGTAGCCTACCAGGCTCCTCCGTCCATAGGATTTTCCAGGCAAGAGTACTGGAGTGGGTTGCCGTTTCCTTCTCCAGGGGATCTTCTCAACCCAGGGATCGAACCCAGGTCTCCCACATAGTAGGCAGATGCTTTACCATCTGAGCCACCAGGGAAGTCACTTTATAAAGTACAGTGGTCACTAAATAATATTATCACACATGACGTCATCTAATGCACATGGTAACTAATCACAACCACTGTTTATCAAACTTTGAGTACATGTTTATGCACTGAGCTAAAAGTTTATATACAAAACCATATTTAATGCACATAACAAGCCCCCAAAGTAATTATCTTTATTTTTGGAAAGGTTAAATGACCAGTTCATGGTCATAAAGCCAATCAGAGTCAGGATTTGGGCCCAATACTAGTCTTTCATGAGACCATTTATTTATCCAGCACATATTTATTGAGTATCTACTACTTTTCACCACCACACACTGCATTCCTCAGTGATATATGATTCTCTTTCAGTGAAAACTCAGAGCTGATAATGCAAGTTCTTAGATTAGAAAGAAGCCATCTTATAATAATTAAAGCACCACCTATGCTTACAATAATGCTGATTTACTTCACTCTTTTCCTAAAACATTCAAATACATATGTTATTTTCTTTCCTAAGCAAACACGAGGGATGAGGCTTTGTGTTCCTTCTGAGCAGAAAGCACCTCCTTTTGTGGGAATTTGGAGCAGTACTCAGAGGCTGAGAAACTTCTCTCCCACTGCCGACCCACTGATTAATCAATTACCTGCATTCACCTAGTGTCTATCACACCCCAGGCACTACGATCTGCTTTGTTTTTTCACATGGATTACTTCATGTACTCCTTGCAGCTACTCTGTTAGGTGCTATTATCAACATCTGTTTTATAAATGAGGATCCTGGGGCCCACCGAGATTTTCTATGAGGGACCCAACTGTCCACAGCTGGAGGCTGGCAGAGCTGGGATTTGAATCCAGGCAGTCTGCCAGGTCCACGTGTTCGCTTCATTTTATTTCTCTCTGCTTTTGCAGAATAGAGGATTTGAATTTCCCTAAGTTAAACACTCATGTGACACAATTCCACCCCATGCTAATGACTCTAGGCCCTACTGTCTCATGGTCTTGGGATGCCGTCTCCTCCAGAAGACACTGAACTTCCTTTGGTCAGAGAACTAGCTGAGATCTATACACAATAGGAGTTCAATAAATGTTTGAGCAAGGAAAAAAGAAACAAACAGGAAAGGAAGGAGGTAGAGGCAAGGAAGAACAAAAGGAATGGTAGCTCTGGAATGGAGTCTCACCTTCTGCAGTCTCTTCCTTTCAGCTTCCACCGATGAGCGAACTGACTTGATTTCCACCGTGTGCTTCTTCACCAAGTCTTCTAGGCGCTTCATCAGCTGGTCTTTGAGATGTTTCTTCTCCTCTTCTGTCTGATGTTTGATTTTGCGAAGGTCTTCTTCATATTTTTGCTTCATAAATTCTGTCTCAATGCATGCTTCTTTCTTGGTCTATGAAAAGAAAAAGGGCTTGTAAAACTGCCAGGATGGAGAGAACAGGAAATCACCATTTCTCTTTTGTGCAACTTCTACAATGTTGATTACTGATTTTAAAGCATGTATCACAAGGTACAGTAAAATTTATAAGATGACGTGTTTGATATTTGTAGGAAACTTCACTTTATCCACCATCAGAAAAGGACTTTCTGGAGTAATGCATCTATTGTCACAGGATCAGGTATTCCAGCCCACACTATAGTGCTTTCTAAAAAAAAAAAAAACCAAAAAAATGCTTTGTTTTGACTGGGAACATATAGCAGGAATCTTAAGCAAGTTTCCAGTTTCCCAGGAGCTGGTGATAAGGAGTTGGAAGAATTCCGCTACATTCTCAGTCTCCTAGTTTCAAATGACATGCAGTTGGCAGGACATCGGCTGGAACTTCACACCTACACATTCACCCCTGACACTATGGGACCTGTCACTTCCAAGTAGACCTATCATGGTTTGGGGCTGGCCTCCCTCTGAAGCTTGTTCTAGCAGAGCCCCCCGTGACTGCTCCATCCCCAGGGCTGGGTCATACATTACCTGTGTATCTGTGCCTCCTTTTGTGCAGGGACACTCCTTGGCAAAGTTCTGGTCCTGCTGAGGATGGAGACTGCAGGTTTCCAAATCATTCTCTTTCCCTAGGACTTCATTCTCTGAAACTCTCTCTGTCTTCATGTCATCTGCAAGCACAAGTTCCAACATCTTTGGGGATGCCCTTAGCCTGGGCCTTGTGCCTGAAGCCTCTGCAGGTTACCATTCTGCTTTTCAACTCCCCTATGTAATCCCTGCTCCATGGCCTTCTGGCCTCAAGTATGGTCAAGATGGTGATTGTCATCTTTGCCTAAGTAGCATCTTGAGTTCACATAGTTGCCCTGCTCTCCCTTCTTAAACTAGTCATCTTTTACATAGGTTAAAAAATTGAGGATGTTCCTGAACATATGTACATTCAAAGGATTTAAATTTAAAGAGATTTCAAGTGTAAGACAAAAATTAAATACAACTAGATTGCTCGGTTTCTTCCCATATTCCCCAAGGTACTCATGCCTTACTTCTGAGACCACCATACCCTCTGGTTCCAACTCACACTTTTCAGCCCAAAGTGATTTCTTCTTTCCCAGACACCTTGTTCCTCTGCTGCCTGGGATGCACTCATGATATGAAAGCATGCTGTGGGCTGTAAAGTAACAATCCCATAATCTCCCTGGAGGCAGAGCCTATGTTTTGTGACCTTGTTATACGTCCCAGTGTCAAGCTGATCACACTATACATATTCAAGAACTTTCTGATGAGGGAGCTCAGTGGAAAGCACTTTTTTGTTGTTGTTCAGTCACTAAGCCATGTTCAAGTCTTTGTGACTCCACGGACTGCAGCACACCAGGCTTCCCTGTCCTCCACTATCTCCCTGAGTTTGCTCAAGTTCATGTCCATTGAGTCAGTCATGTTATCTAACCTTATCTCAAAGAAAACACTTTGGAGTCAGATAACCTATGTATCTTACTCTATCACCAGCCAGCTGGATGGCCTTAAGCTAGCCACATAACTTTTCTCTGGTTCATTTCTTCATCTGTGACATGGGATACTGACAATACCTAACTCACAGAACTACTGGGAACATCCAATAACATTACTGTGTGAAAGCTGTTAAGAGTATAAAGTGTTGACTAAGTCTAGGGAAAAGCCAGGACTGAGAAGTTCAGGCACTATGGTAGACTGGATGGAGAACTATCTGGGAGCCAGAGATCCTTCTGCATCATGCCTGACCTGTGGCAGCTCTGGGTATCGGCTTGCTTGTGTCTTGCATGATGGGACTCACCACCAGGCAGGTCAGATCAAACAGCCCTGCCCTCCATTCTGCTCCCTTAACAGTCTCAAGGCTGCAAGCAGCGCTAAGCCAACCTGGTGGCCAACCTTTGCTCTGTAAGGAAATCAACTCGGGCATCTCACCGGTTTTCTGTGTCACATGACACTCCTGCAACATCAGCTTATCTTTGGCAATGGCCAGCTTCTCCCCAAGTTTTTTTGCCGTGCTTTTCAACTCTGAATTCTCCTGTCGAGCCTCCTTGAGTTGCACATCCAGGTCCTAAACAGAGAGACAGGGTGTCACTTCTCTAGTTCTGTGCAGACACAGCCTATGTACATCAGCTCTGAAAAGCGGTAAATGCACAGCATGTGCCATTAATCTCTGGAATTCAATTGCTCAGTGTTCATCAAATCCTGATTCATCCTCTGATTGGCTATGTGACCTTCGGCAAATTATTTAATCTTTCTGTGCTGTGCTAAGTTGCTTTAGTCATGTCTGACTCTTTGTCACCCTATAGATTGTAGCCCGCCAGACTCTTGTGTCTTTGGGATTCTCTGGGCAAGAATACTGGGGTGGGTTGCCATGCTCGCCTGTAGGGGATCTTCTGGACCCAGGGATTGAACTCCTATCTCTTATATCTGCTACATTAGCAGGTGGGTTCTTTACCACTAGTGCCACCTGGGAAACCTCAACCTTTCTGTAGTGAGGATTAAATGAGATAAATTGGGACAGAAAACAATGCTCAGGAAGTATGAAAGATACTAGCTGGTGTTACTTTTAGAGACGGGGCTCTGTGAGACTGTGGGCCTCACATAACTAACTTGTCACTGGTCTAGTTTTCCACAAATATAAAGCCTCAAGGACGTTAGGACAGGCAAGTTGTTATGAAGTGAGCAAGTGCTTTAGAACTAGGCTGAACTGAGTTCAAACACTTTCAGCTGTGTGCCTAGCTAGCCCCTCCTTAAGCCTCTCAATTTCAGTTTTATCTTCTTATCTCTAAATTTTAAGTCTCTCAGCTCTCAAAGGGCAGGGATCAAGTCTAGCTTAGCATGTGTCTCCTGAACACAGCCCTGGCCTGGCACGTAGTAGGTGTTCAGTAAGTATTTCCTTAATGAATGTGGTTGAACTCAATGCAGGTACTAATGCTCACTTTGGCGGAAGTCACAGTGCCTGATGCGTGGTAGGTGTTCATTCTGCCGGCCACACTACGGCCATACTACCGCTCATTACTCACACTTGGGAGGTCGGACTAGCCCCTGCCTTACCTGGATGCGGTCCTTCAGCTTCTGGGCGTACTTTTTCAGGTCACTAATCTTGCGGCCTCTGTGCTCCAGATCCCCTTCCAGCTTCCGGACCTGGGCCTGGAGGGCTGCCTCCTGGGCCTGGAAGTTCTTCCGGAGGTCGGTCTCCTTCTCCTGCCACTGCCACAGGGCCTCGCTCACAGACTGCTGCATCGCCTGCCGGACCGCCTCGTTCTCCCGCTCGTACGTGGCCTGCAGCTCCTCGGCCTTCCGTGCGTAGTCCGTGCTCAGCTGCTGGTTCTCCGCTCGCAGCCGCTCCACTTCCAGCAGGACCTCCCGCATCTCGGGGCCGCAGCCCGGCTCGGCCCTGGGCTCGGGACTCTCCTGGTCGAGCCGGCCCCACCGGGGCGCCTCGTGGCCACTCAGGTGCCGGAGCCTCTTCTCATAGCTGGCCTTGAGCTCCAGCATCTCCTTGGAGAGGGTGAGCACTCGCTCGGCGTGCTCGGCCTCCACCCTCAGCTCCCTCTCCTGGGTCTCCAGCCTGCACGAGGCCGACTGGGCCAGCGCCTCCTGTGTCAGCCGCTTCTGCAGCTCCAGGGCGCTCTCCAGGGCCTGGATGCGCTGCCGCAGGGCCTCCTCCTCGCCCGCGTGGCCCTGCGCCTGCAGGAGCCTGGCCTCGGTCTCTGCCACCGCCTGCTGCAGCTCCTCCTGGTGGGCCTCGCGCAGCGCCTCCATGCCCGCCTCGGTCTCGTCCTGGCGGGTGTTCAGGGCGTAGATCACCTGCGGGAAAAGTCACAGAGCTGGGTTGGCCCGAGGGGTGTGGGTGTGGGTGAAGGGCCACAGTGACCAGAGAGGGCCTTGACCCTGGCAGTGGCTCAGGCTGATCCCCACGAGCTGCACCTGGGAACAGGATTTGACTGGAAGTGATTTATTAGAAATTGCCCCCAGGATAAACCAATAAGGAGTTCCCTAGGTGCCTCTGGGGAGTGACATGGGAATCAAGCAAAGGGTCTGAAACACTTTGGCACACAGAAAGCACCCCTGAAAACCAAACCAAAACAAAATACAACAAAACACTAGAAAACAGAATTCAGCAATGTATAAAAAGGATTATATACCATGACCAAGTGGGATTTATCCCAGAAGTGCAAAATTGATTTAACATCTGAAAATCAGTTACTGTGAGATATCACATGAATAGCATAAAGGGTAAAACCCATAAGATTGTCTCAACAGACAGAAGAAAACCATTTGACAAAATCCAATACCTCCTCTTGACAAAAACACTGACCAAACAAGAGAAGGGAACTCCCTCAACCCAATAAAGGGCATCTGTGAAAAACCCACAGCCAACATCATACTCCCTGGTGAAAAACTGTTCTCTGTAACTTCAGAAACAAGACAGAGACAGGGCTAGGTGCTGAATACACATTTAGGATCTCAGAAAATCCTCATGGCAACCCTGAAAAGTTTGTATCTTTGTCCCCATTCTAAGAATGAACCACTGAGGTTCAGAGAAATTAAGCAACTTTTGCAAGGTCACAAGGAATAAGAAGATTTGACTAACTCGTGCTCACAGTACGGTACTGCACTGCATCTCACTATTCTACTTAAGCTTTCATTCATTTACGCATTTACCCAATATCTCAGATGTGCCATGTTCTGTGCTGAGTACTAGAAATACGTGTTGATGAATAAGGCAACTGAAGTTGTGATCTCAAAAATAAAATTCAGTGGGAGAGTCAGATAAGATTATGCTTGGTTTTAGTGCACTAAGTGCTATGAAAGTGATCAGCACCAGTTACTAGGGAAGCACAGAGGAATGGTGTAGTCGAAGACTTCCCAGAAAAGGTGAACCTTCCCTCCTCATCCTTGGGGTTGACCAGTTCCCGTTAACACGTCAAGCTCTGTATAGGCATGAACAATTGACTTCTTCATGTTGTCTCAGAGCATTTGGTATGAAGTTGAGCACGGGGTAGGTTCATAATAAGTATCTATTATGGTACTGTTGCTGGTCATCAAAGATTCACGCTTGCTTTCCACAGAGTTGATGCAGAGAAACAGCCACCAAGCCAAGATCCATTTCCTAGTCCCCGCGCATCTATATGGGACCACATGACTAGTGATTACAAGTGGAATGTGGCCTGAGGTGGATGGATGTCATCTCAGGTCCAATGTTGGGGTTAAGGTTAAGAGGAGGGTTAAGCAGAAGGCATGTCCTTTCCACAGTCTCTCTTTCTATCTGCCAACTTAATGTGGAGTGCAAGATGGAAAGTGCCTGGGTCCTCGGTGACTGAGCAGAAGGCCACCGGCTCACCAGGAGCGCTGGTCTTGATTTCTGCACTAACAAGAAATAAACTACTGTGTTGAGCCTCTAAAGTCTTGACATTTATTTGTTACAACAGCTATGATCACTGTGGGAGAACTCATAGGACTCAGCATATAATCATACTTATGCCTATGATTAATTATAGAGAAAGGATACAAAGCAAAATCAGCAAGTAGAAAACAAGCTTGGCAGTGGTGGGGGTGGTGGGGAGTCTGGAGAAAAACAAGATGAAAGTTTGTAAGAATCCCTCCCAAATGGAGTCACACAGGATTTCCCTGGCAAGGAGCTGTGACAACACATGTGAAATACTGCCTGCCAAGAAGCTTACCGAAGACTTAGCAAGGTTTTTATTCAGGGCTAGTCAGGTAGACAGGCTTCTCTGGTAGCTCAACTGGTAAAGAATCCACCTGCAATGCAGGAGACCCCAGTTAGATTCCTGGGTGGGGAAGATCCACTGGAGAAGGGACAGGCTACCCACTCCAGTATTCATGGGCTTCCCTGGTGGCTCAGATGGTAAGAATCTGCCTGCAATGTGGGAGATACGGGTTCGATCCCTGGGTTAGGGAGATCCCCTGGAGGAGGGCATGGCAACCCACTCCAGTATTTTTGCCTGAAGAATCCCCATGGACAGAGGAGACTGGGGGGTTCCAATCCATGGGGTCATAGAGCTGGACACAGCTGAGCGACCAAGCACAGCACAGTCAGGTAGACAACTTCTCCTGGGCATTACCAAAATTCCAGACTCCCAGAAGGAAAGTAAGCGCTCACATAAGTTATATTGTTTGCAGAAGTTAAGGCCTGCTGAGATATTCTTATTGGTGTCGGTGGCGGAAACCCTCTGGAAATCCAAGTTCCCAGATGGCAGCCAAGAACAGGCTGCAAACAGGCCAGCTAAGGAGCAGTCTCAGATGCGCTATGTTAACTTTTCTGCACACCTGATACTCCAACTGATTAAAAAAAAAAGACTGATTTTTCTCTTCAATGGAGTCAAGCTGTGCCAGGTCAAATCTTAACATAAATGGGGTTTTCTCATGTGAAGAACAAAGCATCCCTGAAAAGGTTATTCCATGAAATTTGGCATTGTGACTACACTGAGGAATAGGAATCCAAAGAGAGACTTGCAGAAGCAGACGCGCTGAATGGTAATACACATGAAACAGACAAGCACAACAAGTAAAAGACTAGGCTGTGGAGTCTACGCTGCCTGAATGTAGATCCTATTTGCCATACAACGTGTGGATCCAGAAGCTGTCTGCCCTCTGTGTGAGCTTGGGTATGCTATATAATCTCGCTGGCTTCCGTTTCCTCATTCGTACAATGGGGAGAATGAAGTTCCTGCTTTATGAGTTTCAGTCAGTCGGTCGGTCGCTCAGCCACTCAGTCATGTCCGACTTTTTGTGACACCATGGACTGCAGCTCGCCAAGCTCCTCTGTTCATGGACTTTCCCAGGCAAGAATACTGGAGTGGGTTGCTATGTCCTGCTCTAGGGGATCTTCCCGACCCATGGATCAAACCCGTGTCTCCTGCATCTCCTGCACTGGCAGGCGGGTTCACTACCACTGCACCTCCTGGGAAACCCCTTACTGAGGTTACTGAAGGATTAAATGGGGCAGTGCTACCCTGCACATTGCATAGTGCCTGGCTCACAAGAACCTATGCAACCTGGCTGTTCCTATTACGGTTGCCCACAGGACACTTTTAGCCTGATGGAGATCTCTGTGGCAATGGCACTTCTCTTAAGGAAGGCAGTATAGTAGAACTGGTGGAGAGGGGTCCTCTGGCGTGAAAGAGACCTAGATTTAACTACCTAGGAGCAGAGATTACTGGTGGATCCTGTATCTGTTTTTCTCCTTCATCCTTAGAAATAGAACCCTTACCTTTCCTATGGGCACACTGCCACATTTCTTAGCCTCCCTTCTAACTTGGAGCAGCTAAGGGACCAAGCCTTGCCCAGTTGAATATAAGCAGAGGTGTCATTATTTCTTCTGGGGTGAACCTCCAGCGGTTCATTTGGGATGCTGAAGGGGACACCACAGGCTAAGGTTGGCAAGACAATAAGAGGAGCCAGGGTCTCTAACACAGTGGAAAGCCATGCCAGCCCTGCAGTGATGCCACACAGATTGCACTGGATTTTCTGTCATTCACAAACTAATTCTATTTGGTAGACATATTTCTCAACTCTTTTTAAAATTGCTTATGTTATTTCACTTCTTGACGCCTCAGTTTCTTACCTGTAAGACATAGACAACCCAGACCCAGTTTTGTGTTTTTTTTTTTTTTTTGAGGATCAAGTAGTATTACATCTAAATATGTGTTGGCACAAAATAGGTACTTATTTTTTTTTTTTTCTCTTCTTTTTTTTCACACTATGTCCTCAAAAAGAAACATCCCTTGTTTTTGGAAACATAATCTGGTCCACCCTCCACCCCACCCCACTGTCAGCATCTGAAACTGTTGAGTAGATTTTGAATATACCCACCCTTCTGCTCCTGGTGCCTCATAGGCCACTTGACAACACTTTCTCTGCTACCTGTTCGCTTTCTTTCACTCACCACCTTCTTACTCAACTGAAACTTCAAGTGGCTGGCCCAAGTCTCATTTGTGAATCCTTCTCAGGAGGAAGTCAACTTCACAAGCCATCAAGGGACATGAATAATTCAGCAGTCAAGAGCAATATTGAGCAAGTTGCAAAGTCTTCCCAAGGGTTTTAGAAATCCACTGCTAATGGTTTGATTTCAGAGACAATGTCCGCAGTGGACCTGTTAAGGTCTTAAAGGTTGAAAATTCCATGGACAGAGAAGCCTGGTGGGTTACAGTTCATGGGGTCACAAAGAGTCTGACATAACTGAGCGACTGAGCCCACATGCATTGTAGGTTTAATAAAGCTATAATTAATGAATTCTGAGCATCAGATCCTAAGGAGAGTTTCCATTGAGTCTGGCAGCAGGAGTCAGAAGTGAAATGGAAAAGGAAAACAGGAAATAATACTTACCGAGTGCCCCCAGAATCTAACCTTCTCTGGGTCAGCTAATAGATACATTATTTGTCAATAAACTTAACAGTTTTACAAAGTGGACATTCTCATACTTCTTATTTTACAGGTGAAGAAACACATTGGGTGGGGTTAATTTAACATCTAGCAGTTATAAAGCATGGTGCTTAAAAGGAGGCTTTGGATTCTGCTGGGCCTGTAGCTCTACCTCTCTCTAACTCTGTGGCCTTGAGGGTATTATTGAACTTCTCTGATTCTCTGTCACTTCATCTAGCACAGGGGAGAGAAATGCCTATTTCATAGATTTATTTGGAGATTAAAATGACACACCAAACCTAATACCCTTAGCCGCATTCCTAGCACAAAGTAAACATCAAGAAATTCTGTCATTCTTTTCACTATTATTGCGAAGTGTACTCGCTCAGTCATGTCTGACTCTTTGCAACCCATGAACTGTA